TTTTTCAATGTTTTTGTACTTATTTGTACTTTTTGAATTTCAAACATAATCATTTGCAATGTTAATTCTTTTTCTTCTTCATATTGTGCCATTCTTCCTGGTTATAAACACTGCCACTAAAACATCCAAAGCTTTTTGTTAAGTTTCAAACAAGTTCACTATAATCATTCAAGTCAAGGTTTTCTCTTCACTCCAATCCAGCTACTTACATAAAGCACTTACATAAACAATCAGGACTCTTCCCACTATCCCTTTCAATAAACAAAATCAGGAGTTTTGAAGTATTAGATATAAGTCAGATGTTCAAAGAAAATAAAAAAGGACAATGTTTCCAAGCCTCCAACCTCTAGATGGCAGTGTTGCTTCTTTTTCCTTTGCCTCTACCCCTCTCTTTAAATTACGAATTTAGGAAGAAAAAAAAGTGCTTAAAAGCAAACAATCCAGCCAAGCATTGTAAAAAAAAAAAAAAAAAAATCATAATCCACAAATATGAAAAAAGAGAAAAAAGAGAAGAGGGGAAAAAAGAAACCAGTCCAATTTAAAAAGTAAGAGGCATTTGTAAAAGTTCCATCCATTAAAAAAAGCAAAATTAAAAAAAGATAACACACTAAGTTTAATTCAAATTTAATTCACGGCTTGCTCACTTCTGTCTTCAATTTTAATTTTACTTTAAGCCTTTTTGTGTGTTCTCTTCTCTAATAGTAAAATTTATCTCACCATTTCGACACACTCTCTCTCCTACTTTTCTTCCATTCTGGGCCTGTCCCAACCTTTTGCAGCTTCAATGGCTGCTTCTCTTTCACCAGAAAAAAGAGCTTCTCCTGGATCAATCAGGGACCTTGTGATGTCCCTGAGATCAGTAGGATGTGCCCTTCTCTATCACTATCTCTACGGGACAGTTTAGTTCCAAAACAACTGTCCAGCAGCAGAGATATCGACAACAATCCTGGAACTCCAAGATTGCATGTCGTGTCGTAGCAACATCAGCCCTGCCCTCTCAATGTTAATTGTTCATTGTATCCTGCACTAACACCACTCTGATTTTATTTCTCATTCAAGAAGATATTTTTGTAGTCAATCAATGTAGTCAATGAGGAGATCATTAATCACTGTGGGCAGAATTACTTTAGGGTGGTGACTGAGGGACAACTAATAAAGCAATATAAAATAACTCCTTTGGACTACATTCACTTGCACAAAATATTAAGTTAAATGTCATCATCACAAAGCAAAGGGACCCATAACACAAACACTTCTTAAATCACATTTTAGTTCCATCTTCAATCCAATACTGAATACAGAAAAAGTAAATCATGGAACTACTTTTAAGAACATGAATTTTATAATTAAGAAATAGAAAGATATGGCCTGTAAAACAACACAAAGGGTATTCTTATGAACATATTATATGCATTCCAGCAATAATCCCTCACTGGGCAGAAAAAGTAACATGTATTTATTTTCCAGACCTCTGAACTCAGACCATAGTGCCTAC